TGGTTTGTGACAGCGTTTTATATTAATACATACAGTGGTGGCTGCTTCCCGGTAATGTACCTACACGTGCCATGAAATATTAATAATATGGAGTGGCTAGACTATGTTACTAATATTAAGTATAAAAATAATAATAATAATAATAATAATTTATGTAGGTATACCAATCTCTTTAGTGGGGCCTGGTATTAAAAAAAAAAAAAATAGTGATTTGGATTAATTGACCCAAACACAGCGGTAAACCAAATAACTCAATATTATAGAACCCGCATTTCCCAAAAATTATAAGTGGTTCTAAACACATTTCAAAACGCCGTCAAACGCATCATGCCATTGCCTTTGCAAGGTAAAAAATATAACATGCCTATAATGATCATTCACCTTCTTGTTAGTCTGAACTCATTTTTCACATTTTGCGTAATATCCTGGAGAACCATCGTAATCCTTTACACATCGACGTTTTTGTGTAGTCTTCAGAAAAACAGTCCATCACTGCGGCATTGACCGAATTCGACATCGACGGTGGTATTGTGGTGTTCTATCTTCTTATTTTCCCTACAAAGACGCGTGACTTATAATAATGCATTTATATCAACCTCGTCAAGAGACATACCTGCTTGGGTCCTTGCAAGCACATAAATAACATATATATATAGTATTATAGTTACACACGTTGACAGGTTCACTTGTGTCATTTTCACCGGAACACTTCAGAAGGGGCTGATAAACGGAATTAATGGCAGTAATGGTCTTTGAAAAACAATCGATAGTTATTCGTAAGACATTGCAAAAATATTGCATATCATTTTTTTGCATTCCTATTATTTTAATCACCAGTCAGTAAGCTTTTAATTAAACGGCACTGAGGTCTAGCTTACACATTTTATGAGACATTACGTATACTGTTTACGTACTTTCTTTAATTTGTATTCTATATTAAGAAAGGCACGATATTTGTTTCTTAAAATCGGCTAAATACAACTCTTACTTTATCAGAACATAAATAATAATATGTATGGATGCTAAGAAAACAAAGTAACTATAATAAATTGTGTAAAATTAAATTATTTTTTAGCTCTCGCTCTTAAGATTTATAAAACGGGACTAATGACTTCTACTAAAACGCCTACGTTGTTATAAATGCCATAGAGCCCCAGCAGCTGCAGACGACACGCAAATCTTGATCTCTCATTGAGGTTCCTTATATTATACCATTGATTATACTTACGGCGCGCGGCGTAGGTACTCGAGGACCGTCAGCACGCATCGCGTGTTCATAATATGACTATGATTTATTAAACATACCCATATATAATAATAATATGAAGCAATCCGATTATAATAGCATATATTATTACATTATATTTGCCATATTTTGTGGTATATAATATTGCAAAGAAGGAGCTGAAATTCCACATGCATACATCATACCTATTATACTTTGATTATAATTGTTGTCAAATTATACTTTGTTCGAATTTCGTTTTAATTATATTTTCGAGTGCGAACAAATTACTACAAAATTTCCTACTACGTACTGTCTTGTTTTATTGTTTCACCTTAATTAATTCTCTTTTGTATCCATTCGCATCGGGACTATAGACAAAATTGCTTTTTTTTTAAATACAAAAATGTAATTTACCATTTTAAGTCGACTTTATGTTATATAAGGTAACAACCAATGTGGAAAATAAAACCAATGCAATAAAAGACAATGGAATATAAGACGAAACACTCTAAAAAGAAATAAAACCAATTTTTACACCCAACTTAATTGCCCTATAAGGCGAATTATAAAATAATCTATAATAACAACCGTATAATATTAATAGTTGAAATATTAAATGAGTTTATCGCAACAAAATGTAGTACAAATAATAATATCACTATAAAAATTTACTTAGTGAAAATAAATTGAAAGCAGAATGGATTTTTGACTGATAAAGTGTATAACGGAAATCATACATAACATGTAACATTCCTACAATGATACGAGAAGCATAATTTAAAAAAAAATTATTATTATTATTATTATTACTAAAAAGTATACGAGATATTTATTAGAGATAGAAAGAAAACATAATATAGGCACCCAATACTAGTTTTTATTACAACAGCTAGGTTCTATATGGATAACCATGCCCATTAGTATGGCCATTGATTATAAATTAAGTATTTATAGTCAATGGTATAATACTATAATGGTATGATACATAAATCTTTTCTATAAATTTTATGATGTTGGGTATAATTAATCTTTTAGCTCTATAGGATTATCAGAAAACTAAAAACAAAAACTTATACTCATACTTTTTCATATCATTATCATTAAAATAATTACATTTCATACTGTTATTACAGCCTACAGATCTTCTTTTGAATTGGTCAGGACTAAATGGTTCAGTCTAGATGTAAATGTTTTTACTTAGAACTAATAATTTCATATAATAAATATTTAATGAAATAAACAATTTTTTCTATTGTATCTTTTTTCTAAAAACTATTTTTAAAACGTCTATTACTTGAAAATATTATTGTTATAAATTGTATAATAAGGGTTCCCACTTTCCCGTCTACAATTAAAAAAAGCATTTTATTTGTATTTTACAAAATTATATTTTTTTTTTTGTGAAATCATTGGTCTAATGTCCTCTTGATGGCTTTACTAATCGCTGATATTACCCGAAAAAAAACATAAAATCAAACGACTATAAATTCTAAAATTTTAAGCCCCATTTGGTTTTATTTTAGATTACTAGATTTGTTTGTTTAGAATTTAAATCTTTGAGTATTTTAATAAAGAAATATTAATGAATAAATAATGAACATACTTTTATGACATCGTGTTGAATAATTTATTAAATGAATTGTTGTGCAACGCAAAAATAATGAGACAAATTAGAATGTTGACGCGTCACACGTCATAAAATAATGGGCATTACGGACCTCTGGAAAAGGTTTTGAAAATTATTTAAAAATTCAATTTGGCATAACATCCATACTAATCCATAAACTTACATTTAATTTAAAACAACACATACAATTATTCAAATCGAAATGATTAATTCATTAGGGGTTTTTTTCCCGATATATTTGTTCACATAAATATGATATAATATTATAATATTATGATATTTTGATACGACCCAAAATATTCAAATGAAAAATTAAACGTATGAATAAATTACTATACCTAATTCGTTAAATCTTATAGGTATAAATACAATTTAATGTAATATCATCATAATTAATATGTAAGACAAGACGTATCGACAGTTCGAATTTCTATCTGCACAGAGTGCGTAAAATTATATTTTACATATCGGTTAGGTGAGGTGATAATATTATTATTATTATTATTATTATTATTATTATTATGTTTTGAACATAATGTGTTCGGTAGACCGTCCATTCGCTGTTTACGAAGACAACGATGATTAGCCGTTTCGAAAGAAACCGCACATTTGTTCCAATGGTTTCTTAATGATATAAAACAGACTACATCCTTTGTTCGTAATGCGACGACACGAATAATATATGTACTATGCCTTCGAGACTTACAAAGCTCGCCAAATTATCTTTGCACCGTAATAGTTGTGTGGTTTTTTTCCCGTTTGTTTGTTTTTAGTTTTCTGTATAAATAGCAACCCGAAAAACGTGGCTCGCGGTATAATTATCCAACCCAGTATATCGCAGTGGAAAAAAATAAATAACAATTTTCGCGGAGTTGATGTCAGTACAAGCTCTTAGAATTTAAAACCGGTAAGACCCGATCAACTGATGACCATTGGTACAATAACTGTCACCAGCTGTAAACTGAAAGAAAATCCGTGCAAAACGATGTTTAGATACTTGACATAACTATGCTCAGTATAATATCATTGATTATCCTATGATAATATTATAGCTCAACATTTTTGTCTAATCAGCTTTATATAATATTATATCGATCAATAATAATTTTCGTTAAAAAATTCAACAATAGTAATAAATACACTCTATTTTATTATTTCAATCGGAGTATTAGATTTGAAATAAAGTATATATATGTTTTTAGAGACACATTCATATTAATTACATACCACCTACTCCAAATAATAATTTAGTAAAACGAAAACAAATTGAAGTATAGTGTCAAGTACAATTTTATCCAATCATACATTTATCAACCACAACACACCCGACGTTCTAAAATTATGATATAGTTCCGTGTATGGATTTCTAAATAAAATAAAATAATATTATTATTATGTTTGGCTTTGGATTTCAATAATCGACTAAAATTCGGTTATAATTAAATAATATTTAACCGTTTCAGACTTCAGTTACGATACCCTCCTAGGCGAGTTGATCGATACAATTATTGTTCACAAAACAGTTGTGAGTGGGCGCAATATCAAAAGCTACCTTACCCACTCTATACTATTTATACATACCTACAACAAAGGTCCCACAAATCTTGATGCACTAATCTTCTCCGACATTGCCGATCGATATAAGTTTAAAAAAATCGCATACAAGTAATAGTCAACCACACGAATGAAAAACGTTCATGAAATTATACAAATTCACATCGTACTCGGCGATCGTGCGAAAATAATAAATGACTGGAAACAACTACGCCTGCACAAAGAACGACTGGGAAAGTCCGCTTTCCAGAACTGTACAGTGTGACCTTTCCAAAATTCGTTATTTTTTTATTTATCCCCGCAGACAATAATAGGGTATGAAATGCTCGGAAGATATAAAATCGGAATTATTGTGTGGTTGGCATCAAGATGTTTCTTCCATGAATAATTACCTATTCGGTTTCGTAGAAAAGTCTATTTGCGAAAAGAAGTGCAGTCGCGCCCGGTTTCCCGCTGATGGTATAATACTAATTTCATTATTTTGTTGTACTCTGCCGTGCAATGTATTATTATTATTATTATTATTATTATTATTACAAACGGTGCGAGGTCCTAGAATTACGTCCGAAGACTGGAAAATGTATGGTAAAAATGGTGTTCATGGTACGTATGACGTAACTTCTATTATAATGCGTTCAACTCGAAGCGACATTATGATTCCGCACGCGAAACGAACTTTTTCCGTTGTAATTATTTTTATGCAAATCAAACAATACGACGGCAGCAACGATATCATACAAATATTATGGTAATACGCTCGAGCTTCCCGAAACGTGATATTCATACGACTCGAGAGGAGCATACCTTTTCACGGAGTTTGTGAGTGGATATAGGTACATGTACGATTGAAAACACGTTTTATAAACGGACTAAGTCGTGTGTTTTGAATTCATCCGAAAGTTACTTGACATATTATTATACGTCGCTATATTATTTTAACGAATAATAAAATGCCAACAATCGCATAGCGGGGTCGTCGTATGCTCGTATATAGTATATCAATATAATATTGTTAAAATTTTAATGTGTTATCGTAATGTAAAAATAAATACTAACTAGGCACTCAACCAAATACAACAACTCACCTTTTAGTTCATCATTGGTGGAATGCACATCACGAGTTCTTCGAATAGTAATTCCATTAGTTTAGGTGAGACTTGAGTAGACACTGTTATTAAGATCTAAATCATAAATAGTGCTTCGTCTATTTCTGATAAATAGGAGGCACATAATATTATTGTTGTCAATAACATGTCAATGTAAATAAATTTGGTGTATATCAATAAGGATATAATGTACAGTTGTTATTGTTGCACTATATCTACATATTATGTTATAATACCGCTGTGGTTACTATCAGCAGATTATTTAAGAGGATACATTCCTCACACAACCAATTAGTTTCAATTAAATATAAATATATACCAAATAATACTATGAAGTTTATAGATGAGTACCAAAACATACCAAGTGTATATAAGTTTATTTGCCCCCACCCTCTCCCTTAAAAATAAGTCAAATAATAAACTGGTTATTACGTGCAATAGGCTCACATAGTATAGTTAGCTGTTGCCTGTATGTCGTGTAGATAGCCACAAACCAGTCTAATGGATTCGAAAAATATGAGCAAAACATTTAAATGGCAATAGAGAATAATAAATATAATAAATAATAATTAAAAATGAAATAAGAATAATTAATTTCTCTGGGGCTGTGGCTTTCAATCGGTATAGGGCTTATAATGTAGAACCTCGTGCGTGTCAAAAAAAAAGGAATTTTTTTTTGGATTTTAGTGTTGAGCCACTTTGATCTCATTGACTTAAGTTCGAATCCATTCAATTGAAAATTCGGACGTCATCGGGAAAGAACTGAGCTGATTTAGGTCAAATGTCTTAAAAATAATACAATTTATTATTGTCAGTTGCATCTCTACGCACTAGACATGATTTGGGTACGATAGGGGTAGAGGTGGTCCGTAACGTCGATAGTGAAACAAATTGCATACCATGATTATGATTCATGATTTATGTTAATTTTCTGTGAACGTTATATATACAAAACTAGAAATATAATACTTACAAAATTCAAAATAAAATTAATTTGTTTTTCCCGTATAATACAGTTCTTCCGCACAGGGCGTGGGCTCAAACATCGGACCGGTAAAATCGAAAATGACAGAGTGAAATAATTTTATTATGAACGTCATCGGCGGACTGTCGGAGAAACGAAACCGGGACCGGGTCGACGACAGCGATCTGGAACATAACCTGAACGGAGAGCGCGATCAGCGTCGAACAGCGGCGGCCGTGGCCGACACGCAACGCGGTGGCTGTTGAAAGAACAAGCGCGCACGCGCCATCCGACAATATTATAGTGGCCGGATTCACGGAACGGACGGCGACAGGATCATCGTGTTCGCGCCGGTCGCTCCGGAACTAACGGCGAGCGTGGTCGAGCAGCCGGCGGCGTGGGGGGCGCGTCAAGCAAGTGCAGCTGGTGGTGCTGCTGCTGCCGGAGCTGCCGCCGCCGTCGCCTACGCCACAGCCGCCGGGCCGCCGCCGCCGCCGACGACGCCGCAGCAGCAGCATCCGAAGCCGGCGACGACCTGCAGCAACAGCAACATCAACAGACAGTAACCACAGTGGTGATAACGTCGCCGTCCTCATCTACCATTGCGGTGCCGAGACAAGTTGAGGTCGCCGCTGCCACCCTGTCGTCGTCAACCGAATGCCAAGCGCCGTCGTCGTCGTGTTCCGTCACCGCAGACGCCGACCGGAAGTCGTCGTCGGTCTCTTCCGCCGCCCCGGTCGCCGGAGACCAAAACCTGCAACAACAGCAGCCACCTGCACCGAAACAACAGCAGCAACAACAGCAACAGTTTCACGACATCGAGGAGGAAGAGGACGACGATCAGCCGACGTCATCAACGGACGGCGACCGTTCGCTGACCGTCCGCGAGACCGCCGGGTGCCCGTCACCGACATCGTCGTCTAGCGCCCCGTTGGCATCGACCACGACCTGGCCCAGGGCTGCCACGACCACGGCGGCGGTGTCGTCATCATCGGCGCCCGTCACCGACCGGAAGCGCAAGAAAAATCTACGTCCTAAAAGTATAATCAACACCGTTAGTTCAGACACGTCTGGCACCGTCGGTTCGGGTGTCCAGGAACGCGCCACCGGCACCACGCCACCGTCGACCATCGACAACAATAACAGCAACAACAACAACAACGACAACAGTCAAGCGCCTGCACCCTCACCAGCAGCAGCAGCAGCGGCGGCTGTAGCGGCAGCTGCAGCCGCAACCGCAGCCGCCTCCACCGCAGCTGTCACTGCCAAGATGCAAGCGGAACAGGGCAGCATTGGTGACCTGCAGAAGTACCACAAGTTTCTTCGGAATCGCAGACACACGCTAGCTAACGTCCGGTAAGTGCGCACGAGTTTTATTCTTGGATCTCCAAACGTTATTATATAATTACGTGTATGGAGAGGATTTTATTTTTGATGTGACCTCGCTCGAGGTTTAAAAAAAAAATACTTATAATTTTTATATGTCATTAAGTAATCCGAGTGTTCATATTAATGGACAAAATGGTAAATTTGGTAACTGGTTTAACGTATTATGTATTCAATAGAATTGGATTGTACTCTTTGGTACATTTCATATTATACCCCGATAAAATTGTGGTGTACCACTTTTGAACCACAAGATTCATCCCGATCATGGCTCTAAATTGATTTTTTGAAATCACCTTATCGCGGTGGAATGTGAAGGCTTTATGTCATGAACGTTTTTTTTCTACTATATCGGTGGGTAATACCATCGATTAAATCGAAAATAAAACCATACCAAGTTGGGTGATAGTAACAGTTAAAGAGTTTATTTCACTCAGTCGGAACTGTTTGGACGGTTGAGCGCGGAATAAGACATGCCACCATCTTGTAATAGTTAGATTTTTCTAGTACGAATCATTCAATTTGAATTTTTGCCGCAAACTGTATGCCCCCCTCTCACAATTGAATAAAGTAAATAAGCTTCTAAACCCTTTTTTTTTTTTCCATTTTCATTCTAATAAAATAGCTAGGAATCGTGAAATGAAACTATTTTTAATTTACTCTAAACATTCACAACGATAGTAAAAATATAAAATGCTCTAAAGAAGATCTTTAATTGCAAACTGAAATTTAAGTTTCCTCAAATTATTATATAATTACGATATTCTGACAAATAATATTGTGCTTGAGTATCTATGACGGTGACCCCCATCTGCGGAGAAATTATTTATTTTTCAAACACGTGGTCACTCCTGGCATATATCACCAACTTTTAATAAAAAGTCTGTTTTTGTTCATGAAAATAAATGTATTAACATTAAACCTATAAAAATGTAAGCTTCAATGTACTATAATAATGTTAATAATATTGTAATGTGGAGATAATGATACATAGTTTATTATCCTAAAGATTTTTTCTACGGATGAAATGACGGTCGTGTTTCTCAATGTAGCCAAAGTTTTTATTTCCAGTTACACTCCACAGGAATACCTACTGAATAAAAATACTTAAATATCGGCCTGCTTTTATATTATTAAATTAATACATGCGTTGTATGTCATCGTTAAATTACAGCGAAGTTACGATATGATGATATAATACTAAATTCGATGGTTATAGCTATAACCTGTCCGAGGTATGCTGCAGTTTACCGCTTTTGTACTTTATTCTGCCCACGTACCCATATATAATAATATAACAAATTTTCCGTAGGGAACTTTTGAACCATGTAAATAGTTTTATAAATCATTTCCAGTGCTGCCTTTGCTGTTATACACACACTCGCACACCAGCTTGCGCATAACAAAGTCGTTCGTTTTTATTTAAAGAGACATATTGTTGAGTATAAAATAAGTACCTCTATAAACTTTGTCAATCCATAAATTAATTTATACAGTCGAATTGAATCGTTTTCAATGGGTTTTCGAACAGGAAGAGCAAAATTCCATGAAAACAATAATGATAATATTCCATACAGATTTCTGATTTATCATTTCAGATGTACTGTACGTATAACACTTTCTATTGTGGTGGTGCACAGAGTGGGCTTCCGATATGTCTCGCGTTTCTCTGCGTCTTAGATTTTTGGGAACGCATGTGATTTCTTCTTTATATAGATAACATTATGTTACATGGGTGTGGCAAAAATATTGAAGATTACAACCCACCCACACTTAAAATTAAAATCTGCTCATATATATTTCATTTTTTTTCATTATAACTAAAACATTTATATTATTTTTCAATAACATAACATTAATGCAATGGATGCGTTTTATTAACATATATAACTTCCAACGATAAATAGTAAATACCTTTTTCATTAAATAGATTGTATCTTCTCAGTTCTCCTATTACATACACAATGATGTGTTTTGTAACCTATTACGTGCAGACTTCAAGAGTAAATCAATAAAATATACCTACTAATTACTGTATAATACGAATTTATTATGCTGAATTAAAATTAGCATAATATTCCTTAGTCGATAACTACTACAGTTAAATATAAAAATATTTGTATACCTTACAAAATTTCCCCACTCAACTAAAATTGTTGGGTAAATTCCACCTAAGAAATATTATGTTCGTAATGCCACTGTTATATCGACCTTGATCTACATACGAGAACTCGCCAAACGTGTTTTTCATTTTTAATGACACTAATAAACGTTGGCGGCGCACGTGCAGGTATTATCGAAACTGTAATAATTATTATGTTTGTGATTTTTAGGGTAGGTTTTTGAGTGCTTTTTCTAATCTAACCTCTACCTAAAATTAATTATAACGTGAAAACTGCCATATTTTTTGTTTAGATCTGTTCAAACATGACTTTACCGAAGTAATAATGTTGGTAGAGACTTTTACGTTGCAGTAAACCTTAAGTCGATTAAATCTAATGTGGGCATTAAAACGAATTGAAAACACAATGGATTTAGCGTTTTAACACCTTAGCTTCTATGTGTTTAATTCACTAGTATATCACTGGCATGCATAATGTAATATCGTATGTATTAAACGTAAAAACACAATATATTATGTATTATGTATATATTTTTTTGAAACCAATATTTTAAGAGCCGTAGTTAACATTTGAATGAAGGTATTATCAAAACTAAAAACACAAAAACCTTTCAGTGAAAAAACACCACCCCTAAATCCCCGCCTGCAGCGTGGTGCCCGTGCGTGTTTGCTCACGTGTCAGTGCCTGTGTAGGTTTATTTGTCTTTCCCTACCTTATATCGTAAGCTAACACATATCCGGCCCGGAGATTTGGTTCAGTGCAAGCTCGGGTCCATCACATGGTGGAGGGAGAGTTAAGGATAGGACCAAATACAAAAGTTTCGATCGTTTTGCCTAATAGGTAATAAGAATAACGATTTAATTTGTAGATATTATAATGCTCGTACATTGCGTTTCATGTATTACGTGTATAGACCGTGGAGTGCATGCACGTGATTTACTCATAAAATTATGTGATTCGAAGTATGACTACTCTCTGTCTCTTTCTCTACCACTGTTGACGTTTATGAGAAAATTCTTACTGTTTTTCACTTCATCGTCGTCGCAGGGAGATATTATAACAGTAATAATGCTTGAACGATATATATGTTACGGGTAATGTTAACATTTGGATAAAGTCGATATTAGTCATCCGTTTTGGCTAATGTGTAATTGTTCGTGTATAAACATGAAATATCAACATTATCCGTATGTTAACTTAAGCCAGTCAATATTGGATAATGTTAAAAGTTATATATTAAATAGAGTTATTAGCATTCTATACAATAATAAAGCGTTGGACTGCCAGAGTATGATATCTTAATTCCAACAGCCGAGTATACAATTTAGGTCTATCCATAATTTTCTCCCAGCCAACATTGGAGGCCGTGTGACTGTGTGAGAGTCTCTGTACCGTATGTCGACAGAGGTTGTGCAATTGTGTCTAATGAGGATGGACAATATTGAATATTATAAACTTGGCAATAAATATGGTACTCTGCAGCATATATACATCAGAAATCAGTTTGATGTTTGTCCGTGGTTTTCAACCCTACACTGCACAATTTTTTTTTCTTTAAAAAAAAAATATATGAGTTTTGTGTATACTTCACTAAACTATATATGAAAAATAAAAAAAAAATTTTTAAGTTTTGGTTTTGCTAAAATTTCAAAATTTTAAATTGTTCCATATATGGAACATTGTGCATACATAGATGAGTATTTTATTCAAAAAAATTTTTTTAACTACAAATATAATTTTTACTCGGTACATTATTTGATTCTTTACCGCTTGCTGAGGTGGTACATACAGAAAACTCGTTGAGTGAATACCCGATATAAATCTGCTCGTTCTGGCGGTCGTTCGCAATTACATTGTGATTTTTATCATATTACATACATTTATAGAAATGTAGGTGTTGCATCAAAATGTAGGGGTAAAAAATAACATGATTTATCATTTTATTATCAGAACGTGTGACGATGATATACTGGTAATGATTTTTAAGTGGTTTGTGAGTTTTCAGTACTCGCAGCTTCGAAACGATAAATCCATGTCCTAGCAAAGACGAGGAAAGTCTGCTATTTAAAGGACATAGTATCTGCACGTACTGCGAGCAGGTTTTGTCGGCGATAAATATTTGCACAATATTATTATAGTAGCTGAATGCATAAAAGTTCGTCGTCGAAACCGCATTTTCGAAATTGCATCAACCCTATACTGGTACGCTATTATACAAATGTAAAGTAATAAAATATAAAATATACACATATTATACATTATGTATTTACTATTTATGTCATATAATGCCATTATTTAAGACGAGGGGCACAATCAAAAAAAGGTGTCAAAAACCGTTACAAGTGTATTTTTTTGTGATCAAAATCTGTTAATTCTGAGCGGATGAATTTTATTGCGGTATTGACAATAAAGTGTTTTGTTTTTTTGAGTGTGTGTGTCTAAAGTCACCTTTTCTAAGAGAAAAAAACATCTAATCATCCACTTTGGACAATTTTCTGATAAAAAAATAGGATTTATAGTTTAATTTTTTTTCTTTTGGGCAAGGGTAGAAATAATTGGAAGAATAAACTACAATCGTTATGCTAAACATGGTTTTAACAAAACTGATTTCGTTTTTTTGTTATTATTAAAAAAAAAAAAATAATAACCATAGAGACTTTTCGTTTTTAATAAATGTTTATAAATGCGCACTCCCGGGACATAATAACATTTTAAAAATATTTGAGCTTTTTATAGACATTAATTATTATATTATTATTAGAAATGTCTACTTAGTTTAGATTTGTATGATATAGTTTTTGTTTGTAAGTAAAAGACTGATCATTTAACATGTGGTATTCTAACAAA